TCCTTAGAAAGAAGTCATTTAAACCTCTTTTGGTCCTTCTCGTTTTTGATCATCCCTGGTTCTCTCCTATGCACAGGCATCCTGGCAGGAGAGGAAGAATGGAGCAGTGTAAATAGACATGACAATGTAATAGGTACAGCACTGCCAGCTCCACAAAAGTGCAAATTAAACTATTCCTAGACCTCACTGCAAGAATTCCAGCTAGGTCACACCACGTGGTCTCGTTAAAGTTATTACCACTCCTAGAAAACCTATCCCACCCAGATTTCATCAAATTACAGGTAGTTTTCCAACTGCAAAGCAGTCAGATGGCTGTGGAAAGCACCTACTTCCAAGTCTCAATACCATCACTACTTATTTTTGTGTCCAAATGGAGCTGAAGGACAGATGAGATCCCTAAGGTTAGGGATGAAAAAGATTTGTAAGCTAAAATTCACTGCCAATAATAAAGGCATCTTCTGCTTAGCTTGCTTATATATCCCCTTTTGGGTTTATCAAAAATGTGTCTCCTGCTATTTGCAGGAGATTATATACTGATTGCACATAAGTGATGCTGATGTCTCGTGGTGAAGCTTCTAACACTGCCTTGTGTTTGAGTTCCAAGACATTTTGTAAGGTCCAGTTCAACACCTTTTAAGTCTATGCCCTCAACTTCCATGACTTCTTGTATTCTGTGCATGCTATTCCAGTCTCTTTCCAGACCTTGCAACCTTCTTCTGGAGTTCCTGAGGAACAGAGAAGGGATAAATGCAAAAGCTACCATTGCATTTTTTGCCAGTTCTGAATTGCAGAGCTTTCTCCATCTCCACCTCTCTTATGGGAGCTGCTGGTACATGCTGTAACACTGAGGAACACTGCACTAAGTCCCTGTTTGTGCCTGTCACTGGCTGTTTCCTTCTCAAGGGGAGAGGAAATGTGACAGCACCTAACCAGTGGCAAAGGACACAACATGAAACTGTCTCATATCATTGCCAAGATATTTTGACCCAAAGAGCAAATGTGAAACACAGTCTAAGAGAAAAGCCACCCAAATGTGCTAAATTGTAGCTCTTCTAAGCACCAGCAAAGACAAGCAAAGGTACCTAAGCAAATGGGTGAATATCTCTCTAATACAATGACTCAATATGATTGGGCCCCTGAAGTTTTAACTAATAAGTACTTAACTCATAATTATAGTATTCAAAGCAGTTAATGAAAACATATAATTAAGACACACCACTAGGGAAGGTCAGAACTCTTTTGTACTTGTGAAAATCAGAGAAATGAAATAACTTGAAGAGAGCCACACAAGTGATTTGATGACAGGCAGAGAAGTAGACCCCAGGCTCTCTGTCTAGGGCATGCTCTCGTGGATTGTGCTGCAGCTCAGCAAATATTAGCAAAGGATATGTTTATATTTTTATACATCTCCTTCAGTCATCAGATATATCAATGCATTTACAAAAAAGTCTGTGCTGAATTATACTCCTATGATGAGATTTCATGTACCTCTCTCACTCACCCTGAGGATGTCAGGTCTCTGATCAGTCTCTTTAGACATTTGCCATGTCTAAAATTATGTTTTCAATCAGATTTTAGAGGACAACTGAATTATGCCGCTCACATTGTCATATCCATTTTCTAGAGGCTTGGGATCACTTTTAAAATATTAACTGCTTAATAATGAACAAAGAATAGCAATTTATGTCAGCTGACTTTGTGGACTAAGGGCTATACTATATCACTGATTTTTCAGTGTGTAGTATTGAGCAAAAATGGACTGATCATAGTCATAGTATAAATATCCAGTAAAGAAACACCACGTATTTTGATTATGAATAGCAGGAACAAGAAGCAGTTATATATCAAGGATTTGCTGCCAATAGCCTTTATAATTAGAGGGAAATCCCAGATTCAGTTTAGTGTTTCCTTCTTTATCCATAGCCTTTGGAAACATTACTGCATTAAATGGCGGACAATACAAATAATATTTCATAGTGTTCTGGGGAGTGTTTTTTAAATGTAGTGCTCTTGATCTTTACCAGCTGTTGAATCAAATTTGGCATAAGCCTATTTCTTTGTGTACAGCCTGCAAACAATGTGGATTGTAAAATTAGTAGGGCACAAACCCAATTTCAATTGCAGGCTGGGATTCCCCTATGCTTTTACAGGGAAACTTGGTTGATAACTGTGTTTCCTATTGGGTGGGGCATGGAGACCATGCCCATAACACTTAATCTTTGAATACTAGAATATCACGTGAGCTCTAAAGCCAAGCTATTAAAATAAGGAAGAAGAAATAAATCATAAAACCTAATAAAAGCTTAGTTGTTCATTTGCCATCACTCAACCCACAGCTGTATGTTTTTCATACTGTTTAAAATTTTATATAATGCTGGCATAAACATCCAGTGTTCTTTTATTTTCCTTTCCTGTACTGAACAGATGCACAGTTTGTGTTACAGTAATGAAGCCCAAATATTGCCTTACACAAGGTAATGTAAGGATATCTTGCTGGATACCCATGTTAAACTAAGAATAATTCCTAAAGTTGAGATAACAGTTCAGTGCAGATGTTTTGCAAGTCATATGCCTCAAAATAGTTATGTCACCATTTGCCTCGTAAGTACAACCTTGTCAGTGCTTTACTCTGACAAGAAGTACCCATGGAGGTCAAAACTGCTCACAAATATCTAGTGGACAAAGCCACACTAAAATCTAGTCTACTGGTCAGACTCAACAGTTTCAGTTATTAAACCTGCTAAAAAACTTCTGACAATACCCATAGTCTGAAAAACACAGAAAAATGCAAATTATTGCTTTTCATATTCCTTGCCTTATAAAGAACCACACAGCTTCAAGTTTGAATGCAGAAGAGAAATTTACTGTAAAAACTTCTGGGAAAACTTCATAAGAAAAAAAATTTCTACAATATTCACTTGTAACAACAGCCACTGCAGAAATCTCTGATAGTTTTAAAATGACAATATCTCATTATCACATTAAGGAAATTGCTAGAAATAAGTCATTGGTTCTCTACTTTTTGATCTGATGTGCTATAGCAGAAGGGAGCACACACAGATTTCACACAGACAAAGGCAAACTGTAACCCCTGACTAGTGCCCCTAGGAAGAGCACATCATGGGGAAGACTGACTGCTCCCTTTTAGAATAACTCATGAGATGGATTTAGCCCACAAATCATGGTCAGTGATGCAGAGAAATGGAAGTTAATTTCAAAGGAAAAGGAGAAAGAAGTTTCCTTTAATAAGTTAGTCATGAGATTCTAAAATTCATGTAGCTAAAGTGCTTTGCACTAGATTGAAAATGCTATGCTGGCAGTAATTTATCCTGATGAGATCATTGTTGTTCCCTCAGAGAAAACATTTTTGTCTTAAAAAGTCATTAATGCATTCAAGATTCTACTGAATGCAACTAGCAGAAACATCACATCCAGACCATTAACTGAATCCTGTCCCTAATATCACAAATGATTGATTGATTGATTCTGCTATACTGGAAATAATGTATTTCCCCTGTAAATAAGACAAATAAAACACACCTTTCTCAGTAAATCAATCTTTAAGTATTGAGAAGTGTAAGACACACTCTTAAAGGTAGAGAAAGGGACCCAGTTTGCCAAACCTTAGGGCTGTGTCTAGAGGCAATTAGTGAATCAGTCTTCATAACACACATACCTAAGGTTTGACAAAGATACCCTTTAGGGCCCCCAGAGGTAAATCCTATCCCTTAGACTGAAACCCATCAAAAAAAGGTTGATATTGATTTTTACATGCTGAGTCTGATAGTCCTACACTCTTTGGAGGAATAAATTAGAATGACAAATCATTTCTATTTCAAACTCTCATTGCATCAGACCAAGGAGCATAAATTATTTAAAATGCATGTGTATTTGCATTCATGAATATAAGTTCATAAAAATTCTTGAAAAGTATTTGAGTACATCTAGAGATTAATCTCTTATGGCTATATTTTATTATTCTAAAAACATCTAAGTAGATAGAGACTACAGAACTTGAATACAGAAACAAACTCTAGTACATGAATATTTAAATATAGAGAGGGCTTTTTTTTGCTCAGTCTAGTGTTTTATAAGGATCTTTATTCCTACTGTTTTTCTAGGACACATATATTAAATATAAAATAAATTACTTTAACAGGAACTAACTTAATATCTGGGAGTACCACCACATTTAAACAATCATTAGAATGTCTCACTGGTTGTCCTAAGTACCGAAATCTTCAAGCAGTTTATACAGACAGCCAAATTCTTTCATAATATCAATTTCACTTCTCTGTAGGTAGCACAGAGTTATCATCCTCCACTAAGACTGAAAGTCAGATTGCTTATTATTTAATTCCTTTTTGTTTTAACTGGTCTTTCAATGTATGCTAAGTTTACAATTTCAGAATGCCAAGAGCAGACTATCTCCATACTGCCCCTTTGCGGGGATATTTGGAATTGTACAAACCCAAAGCTATTAAAGACGGTGTGGTTCACACCCCTTCATGCACATACAGAAGTCATTAAATTTAATACTGGTTACATTCAAACCACAAGATGAAGAACATGTTTTACTCTTTCTCATGCTTAATTCATTTATTCACAGCAAATTCAGTGTTTCATATGTTCCTAACATAATTAGCAATTTCTGAAACCTCTCATTCCTCCCTCTCACATCTCTTTGGCACCACTGCTGTTGTAAAAACTGACACTGGAAAAGTAATGAATATTAACAAAATCTTTTTTTTCAAATACAAAAGACAGATTTTAAACTAACAGCAGCAGTTGCAAACAGACAAAGCTGAATTTTCCTACCCCCTTTCAGAGTAATTCTTGCCACTTTGGATACTTAATTCAGAATGACAGGAATATAAAGTGAATGTTCAGGACAGCTGAAATATTTTTCCCTTTTTGCTTTCTTGCTTTTCCTACAATTATTTTGGTAGCCTATAACTACTATATTAATAGACAGCAAATTGGAACAAGTAAGAGATTACCTGAGAACAAGAAAGTCCACATTCTTCAATCCTGGGAATAATCTGACAATCAGCATTCCAAAACAGAATTATTAGAAGAATCTGAACATAAGAACTTATCATCCTAAATTGAAAAAAAAAAAATACAAAAAGCAAAACCTCAGAAGAAACCTTCAACTCTGACAATTCTCCTTCTCGTGCCAAAACTTTAATATGAATTTTAGTCCCTCCCACAGCACCTCTGAGCTCCTCCCTCTAAAACTTTCCAAAGACAGAAAATTGCTAGTTCTGGGAAACATAAAGCATGCTCAACCCATTTCATATGTTCCAAATTGAAAAATAGGAAACAGTGATTTCTGACAATCACAGTAAAAACCTCTTCCTTCTGGTTTTCATCACATCAGCATTAGATCAGTTTCAACAGATTTCTTTTCTGTAAATTCCATATATAAATAGGAATTTTATTTCTAGAGTGATGTACCAGACAAGTTCATGGGTATTCAAATGCAGTCTTATTTTTCTGGTTTTCTAGTGCTTTCAATGAGAAGAAAACCAGCTTTGCCAAGGTGGGTGGTCTTGGAAGATTAGTTTCCTCTTTTTCATCAGCAGGAACACCAGATTCTTTCACCCTAGAAATCTGAGCCTTGAATTTTTTTCTACTATTATCCAATTGTATCAGTAGCAGCACCTTGTCCTATAGCCTATCTCCAGCTTTGGAAATAGGCATGTTTTTTCAAAGCTCAACCCCACCAACTCTGAGAGCAGGGCAGGAGTGAGTCACAATACCTCAATACCTGTTAGCATAACAGGATGCCCAGGACTGCCTCTCTGGGTGCTGTGTTTCACACAGTCCCACTGCCCTTTGTAAGGAACATGTCAAAAACACACTCTCTGGTTGGTGTGCAGGCTACATGTGACATGCCTAAGGGAGTTTTCCTCCGCAGAGAGGGCTTGCTCACCACTGACAGACATCTTTCAGTAGGACAGTGCCAGGGCCCAAGTACTCAGTGCTCTTACCAAACCTTTTACATCAGTTACAGTGGGGAATATACAACCAACAGCATCTGCTGGGATCTGGCTTTATACATAAAATACAATGTCTACTCAGCCAGTGTATCTATTGCACTTGTATTTTAGATACCTCATGTGAGTCCAGTTTGCCAATTTTCCAAGACTTTATTTTTTAGATAAGCACCATCAATCACCATACTGAATAAAATGTAATTTATATGTTTTGGTTAAAAAACAACAATTAAATTTTGTCATCTTATAGGAGCTTGGACATTAAGGAGTTAATTTGTTGCTATGCCTCAAACTCTGATGCTGATGGCCACTCAAGTAGGCAAGTTAGAACAGGTGGTGGCTGGAAAGGGGGGCCCTGCGGAGGTAGGGCAGCACCTTTCTGGGGCCCACTTCCCTCTTCTGGTCCATGGTGACCACATAAAGCACAGAGGGGATGACATGAAGGAGTCAGGAGCTATTGAGAAAGGGTCAATCCAGAGGAAGTGGATTGAGACCACCTAAATGCCCTCAAAGCCCCCTGGCCCATTACCAAATAGATCCAGAAAAACTTGGATCATGGGCATCAATGAATCCTGACTACTCATAGAAATGGGATGTGACACACCTATGCACAAAAATACTCAAGATCAAAAACCTGCCCAGTCCACTCTCCTGTGCCTAAGAGGATGAGGGGATGCTTAGAAGAAATAACAAAGTTAAATATCCTACTTCCATGGATTATTTTAACATGTATGCTGACAAATTGCAATGACCTGGATCTTACAGATTTACTGAGCCAAAAGCCACGTGCACATCACTGATTTTAACAGCTGCTTCTGGAACTCTCTTAAATGTATTTGTAAAACAACTCCTTTTATCTATTTATTCTTTCAGTTTTCAAATCTCTTTGGAGCTATGAAATGTACAATTAACCTGTTTATTTTCTTTGTTTGGATTTTAAAACTGCTTCCAAATAGTTCAGTTGGATTCCCCCTTGTTGCTTTAAAAAATACAGAATACCCATTTTCATCTCACCTTTGCAAAATAGTCACAGCTTTTTACTATATCCTTTTGTAAGATGAAGATCCTGCAGACAATATTCAGGAGTGAGCTATTCAAGGATGTTTTACTCTCTAGCAAATGTCATTTTGACTCTCCTTAGTGTATCATTTACCTCCAGTTTCCACAAAAATTAATGGTGTGACTTGCCTCAAGAAATTTTATTGTCTCACTGTTTCTGGTATTTCTTAGGGCACCTCTGTCACATTCTGAATAAAGCTGATCAAAGCACAGATCTAACAATGTACTCTTTCTATGCAGGAACTGTGTTTCAGTCAAGAGAGTTTCTGTGTGGACTCAAGCTGTTATTAAGTTAATCAGGCAACAACTTTATTGTTATTTGTTTCATTTGAACCTTGTTTTTTAAATCATGTCTAAACTAGCTACTTCACTGTTCCTGCATGATTTGTATCCTGGAATTATTGTGTTCATCCACTGTTTATATTACATCAGGTTTCAGAACCCCCATTAAGATTCTCATTAAAAACTGGGCTGTATAATTGACCCATGCCACATTTTTTGAAAACTATCAGTTATGTAGAAGCATTGATGCTTTTGAAATTTACAGGGACAATATCTCTTAGACTCTGTGCTCAAATGGGACTCTAATTCGTGATCATAATTTTGAAATTTTTTTCTAAAATATGTCATTTTATCCTTGTTAGTCACTATACCTTACCTATATTTTAATCAACATTTGTCTTTAGTTTGACGCTTTCATTACTTTATCCCTGAAGACTGGATGATAGCAAAAAGTATTGTTCTGTTTCTACCAATGCTCCCTCCATCTTCAGAAGAAAAGACCCTTTAAAAACCCTTAATAGGAAGGGCCTTCTTTTGCACTTTGGTAATAGAGATATTTTGCACACTAGATCTTTATTAAAGCACTGGTCAACAACATAGAAAAGCCAGAATCTAAACATTTCAGTCCAAGAAGGTTTGGGTCCAAATCTTTCACATTTCAGGATGCTAGCTTCATGGTTCAGGGTGTTTTTAATCAAATGCACAGGTCAACCTTAGAGTACAGAGTGAAATCCAGTATTTTAGATTCCCCATTTTCTCTTGGGTCAAGTTGGATCTCTGGACCATCAGCTCATGTACCTTTTTCTTAATTAGTCAATTATGCTTGGATACATACTTGGCCCCCTTCAAAACAGAAAATCATTCCATCACTGGTCAAGTTTGTACAGGAAACCTTTGAAAATGAAAGTTAGGACAGATGTATCACCAGACATACCTAAGCAGCCAGCAATGGATGTTGTGACCTGATGTGTTGGAGTTTAAGCACAAAAATCCAAAGAGATTTCTGCTTTGGCCACATTACTTTTTGACTTTGTTAAATTAACATCAATGTCCATGCTGGGAGGCATGTCCCTGTCACATCCATGTTGGAGAAGTCCCAGCCTTCTGTGCAGCACAATAGCCACATTCACACTACATTTTGCAAGAGGATCCTGTGACATATCACTATGTTCTTCCCAGTTTCACCAACACAGGCACACATGCAATACTAGAACTGTCCCCTGGCTATTATTTTAACCCTGTGTGCAGTTGTATTGATTTCTCCAAGCAACAGACATTGTGCCTCCAGATCACATACATCAAACATAAGATATTGTAACTTAACAGCTTCTTGTCATGCTCTGGAGTGGAGTGGTGTGAGGTGTTACTGTCATCACAACAAAATACTCACAAGGGATTCTCCTGCTTGGGGACTGCACTTTTCTGGGACTGTGCCTGTATCTCCTGTCCAGAGTGAGCCTGTGCAGCCAGGGCAGGTGAGCAGCAGAGGCACCTGTACCCCAGAGAGACACAAGACAGGCTGGTGAAACACAAGCTGCCCACGGCTTCTGGACTCAACAAGTTACTGATTCACAGTGCAAAGATAACCATTACTCATTTCATCTGTGTGATTGAAGGGGACCCTCACTCTCCTCACCCACCATCCCTTTCCTTCAAGAGTCACAAGCATTCAGCAATGACAGCAAACATAGGCAGCACCTTAGGTGCACTGCTTACAACCCAGGCACAACCCACAGATGCTGAAGACTTTCTTTTCCTAAGATTAGAATCATACAATCATCAAGTGGTTGGGATAGAAGGGAATTTTAAAGGTAATCTAGTTCCAAATTAGGTTGCTGAAAGTCCTGTGCGTTATTAAAGAAATAAACAAATTTTTTTATTATTATTTTAAAAATCATTTTAGACCCCTCTGAAATTGTTAATAAAATTATTAAAGAAGAAAATGAAAAACTTGGGTATTAAAAAAAAATCTGCTTAGAAAAAAGTAAAAGAATAATAAAAAATAAAGCATATTCACAATTCTCCAAAATTTTTGTGGACAATCTATACTTTTATGAACTTAAAGCTCAGAGAAACTGGAATTATTAGCACATGTGGAGGGGTTGCAATAAAAGTAAATCATTCATGCACCATGTGCACACAACTTATTTTTTTCAGGAGATACTTCAGTCTGCTTTTTTTCATTTTACCCAGTTAAATCTTTTTGTAATTTTAGCTATGTTTTTTAAGCTAGGAACCTAACTCCTGGTATCAGCTAAGCAGTCAGCCATGGCATTAATTCCAGTGATACCCAGCAAGGCAAAAATGGCACATTTCCAAGCAGAAACCCTTCTAACATGGCACATAGACATTTCCCTCTTCAGGCTGACCTCAGAGAGGGATGTGATTTTTGTCCTTTAACAGGCTTTCTAGCTTTGCTCTGGAAACAGATCATCTACCAGCAGACACTAATTAAAGCTTCAAGCTATCAAGATTTACTGTGTCAAACATCAATACAAAAAGTCCTTTAGTAAAGAAGGATGAGGGTGCTGGTTTGAGTTACGAAAACATTGACACACAGAGTGAGATTTACAGTGAAACTTTCTCTGCCTGAGAAATGCTTTTCATTTCAGCAGCCAGCCCGACATTAATTATGATTTTAAAAGCCTGCCTCTTACCTCCGTGATTTTTCTTCTTGCAGGGTATGAGAAAATTCAGCCTCCAGAGAGGTATCCATGGTTGGGGCTCCTTGTTTACCAGGCATGCAGGGAGATTGTCCA